ATTATACGTATAATTACCCAGGTGGAAAAGTCGGACTATTGCCGGATCGAAAAACCGGCTGGGATCAGCGGCGGTTGGTTCGGAGAATTAATGCCGGTACGAGCAGTTGGTACCAATTCAAATGTTAAATTACTGCTGGCGTGGCACCAAGTCGATACCGAGTTTTGGATCCGTTTTTCTACGGTCCTCAGTACAGGCGCTGTACTGGATTTATACCGATTTTCGGATCCGTCTTTCTACGACACTCGGTATAGGCGCGATACTGGATTTATACCGATTTTCGGATCCGACTTACTCCCAAAGTTGGAAGAATATACTGTTTGATAGGTCAATACTGGTTCTGTACTGAGGCGGTTCCGACTTTCGGATGTTTAATAAAATGCAATTTCTAATTTATTAATAATAATTGTCCAGAAATTTCTGAGATAATAAATCGAATATTTATGAAATATTTATATAAAAAACAAAATTAATGCATCACGTAAATATTTTGTTTTTAATTTTTAGAGAGTATTTTAAAAAAAAGTTATCAATAAAAACAAAATTAATTTGTGAAACTTAATTAATTAAATAATTAATTTGATTAATTTTTCAATTTATCAATTTCATCGAGTGTCACTAGGATCATTAATAAATTCAAATATTCAAAATTTTAATTTATTAAAAATAAAATTATTCAAAAAATTCAATTATTTCAAATTGCCAATAATTCAATTTTAATTTGCAAAAAATTTACTACAATATGAAATTTCAACTGCATAAAAATTTAATTTATCCATTTACCTTTTCAAAAATTATTCACTTTTTCCATTTAAAGAAAAAAGTATTGTGATTTCTGTTAATTCAATAAGAAATTTAATTAATTAAAAAGTAATCGAAATGATTAATTTAATTTAAAAAAATTATACGGTTAAAATTTATTGTTTTATTTAAATTAATTTTGTTTTTATTGATAACTGTTTTTTTTAATATGCTATATATTATATAGCTATGCTATATTTACATGATACATTAATTTTGTAGAATTATAAATAATAATTATACCATATATATTATTTATAAATATTAATCAAAATAAATAAATAGAAATAATGAAAACATTGAATAATAAAAAAAATTTGTTTGCAGTAATTTATATCAGCATTGTTTTGCTCAAGTTCTCAAGCGAGGGAATGGCGTAGTGGTTAGCGGATTAGACTTCGGTGCGTTAGATTAAGATAGGCTTGGGTTCGAATCCCCCTGCGAGCGTTAGGGATTTTAATGTGTATAAAAATGTGATAAGTGTGTGAAAAATTCTTTAAGTGAACTATAAATGAATAATAATTAATAAACGTCTTGAATAATAAATTAAAAAATTATTTTTAATTTTAAAAATAGGAATTTTTTTTGGTTCCACGCCGGTTGCTGGGTGGTAGAATATTTATACCTAGCCCATTGCCTGCTCTGCTCTTTAACACGTCATCTTTCGGAACTATACCAGTTCCCAGCTGTTTGTTTGTCGGTACAATGCCAGTACCCATACGGATGTTAAGTCGGTTCTACAATGAGCGCATCGGACGTGGACGCGAACGTGGACGTGCTGACGTCACCCATTTGATTAAAATTGTGACGTCAGCACGTCGCGTTCACGTACACGTTCATTGTAGAACCGACTTTACGCTGAAGAACGCCGGTGCGCGTGCGGTTTAATGGTGATTTCACAAATGGAACGCGCGTCTGACGCGCGATCCATTTGTGGAATCACCATAAGACCCGTACCGAACACGATCTGCGGTCGGATCTTTTTGGCGTCATTTTTCGGAATAATACCAGTTCCGCGAGGCGTTGTCAGCCGGTGTAAATCCAGTACCGCCACTCCGGCGTCGGTACAGGCTGGGATCCGCGCCGGTTGTAAATTTCCGCCTGGGTATACGTGTTTTTTTCAATAGGGTTAGCAAAATTTCATTTATTTCGTTTTACATATATCTTAACCTAAAGTGTAAGTTTAAGAATTGTAATTTAACCTAAACGAAAGTTTAACTAAAATCTATTTGAACTAATTTCCAATACACGAAATTATTACACTATATAATTGTTAATTCACTGTCTTTGTATTTTATATAATTCGCATCCCTATTGTAAATTCCCGTATGAGTTATTTAAAAAAAAAAATGAGACATATTTTTTAGGATCCTATATGGAATCCTGTATGGACACTGATGAGATTTTTCTTATGAGATGCCCTTATAAGATTTCGTATAGAATCTCATATAAAAAACCATAAGCGATCTTATAAAGGATCTCATACGGGAATTAACAGTAGAGATTACATCGAATTCTTATTTATTCGAATCTTAGCGCGCTAGAATTGTGAATCGTCCTAAATTCGAAAACACCGAAAGTCGAAATCTTCGAAAATCAAATAATTGAACGAGTTTCCCATCCTTGATATTTACATAGGAATATCGGTAAAGTAGATTTCTTTGTCGCTTATTTCTATGGCCGTTTCCGAATTGGGATTTTTGTAGCACTTTTGATAAAGTGTATACTCGGGAAGTATGCTGTGTCTTTTTTTCGCACGGAAAAACAAGGACACTGCATACTTCCCGAGTATACACTTTATCAAAAGTGCGTCAAAAATCCCAATTTTAATGATTTCAGTTCCTTATTACGATATTAATGACATATTGAAGGAAACAACAAAATGATTTGACCCAAGAAAATAAAATATTTAACGTAAATCACTTGACATGAGAACATAATATTCTTGACTCAATACTTTTTTGGTTCTTGACGAAAGTAAAACAGCTCGTTTGAAACAGAAAGATATATTTACTTGTATGAGACTCATATTTTCTTATTTCAAGAACATTGCCCAATGCTCAAAATTACTTGACACAAGAAAATAAATTTCTTCCAATAAGAAAATATCGTCTTGTTTCAAATAAAGTATCTCAAGTAAATGCATTTACTTGATTCAATTAACTTTTTTTTCAGTGTATCCTGAATTGATTATTTGGATCAGATCAAAATAAATACACGTGCTTTTAATATGACAGCATGGTAGAGCGTAAATTGCTGGCTTAGACAGGAGCAGGGAGGCAAGGAGAAAGAAAGCTATGGGTAAAGGCAGTAAAGGAAGTATAGTAGTGGTGATGTAGCGTACAGCGCAGACGCCTATAGTCTAAGCGGGTGCGAGCGAGTCCGCGGCTACCATGCATTCGAAAGCCCTAATGCTGATTCTACACTCATCTAAAACTGAGCGAGCGGTCCGCATTTGCGTTACGTTTTTTATATATATATAGATATAGTTAAATATGGGAAGCGTCACGGATAAACGGACTGCTCGCTCAGTTTTATGCTGATTCCACACTCACCTAAAACTGCGCGAGCGGTCCGCATTTGCGTTACGTTTTTTATATATATAGATATAGTTGAATATGGGAAGCGTGACGGAAAAGCGGACCGCTCGCTCAGTTTTCAGTGAGTGTAGAATCAGCATTAAGTCGGTTCTAAAATTGGCACGTTTGTACTTGAACTTGTACGTGCTGATGTCACATTGTTATTACCATCGTGTGTCTGAGAGAGAACACTTCGCTGTTACATTCAATCTCCTTTCTTTCTCGCACAATGTCGAGGGACGCGCGGGGAGCCTTCATTCAACCCGTTCAGTGAGGACTCGCAACCGTCACTCCTGGGTAGCGATATTATTTATTATACGTAAACCATTTTTCTATGAAGAACGAACAAATATTTTATATATATATATATATATATATATATTGTAGTGACAGTGGTGCTAAATAAGTGTACAAATTTTTAATTTGAAATTAATATTTTTTGAAATATTTACAATAACAAATTGAGCAATATTTTTTTGCTTTACTTATAACTTTTTTTCTACTAAAATTAGAGAAAAATGTTTTAAATGTTTTTTACGCAGAAAACATTAAACTTTAAGAAAAAAATTATATTTTTAAAAAAATATTAATTTTTAAACAAATTGTTTAAAAAATAAAATTTGTTTATAACTTTTAAACATGTTCTCCATCATTTAGAATCACGAAAAAAATCATGAATATTGTTTAAGTCATAATAAATCGATGGTTAAATTTTTGAGATGGCATTATTTTTTGTTTTCGAGATATTAATTAATTAACTAAGAAAAGTTAATAAAAAATGAAATATTTTACGAACAAAGAAAATTAGAGTAATTTTAAAAACACCATTAGAATGCTTATCAAAATCCACATCCAACGAGCCCTATATGAACTATTTTTGATAAACAGGTGTTAAATTAATAATTAATAACATTTGAGGAAATGAAGATAAACCGTCAATTCTTTTTTTGTTTGGAAGATCATCTAATGCTGTGTTAAATAAAACCAGTGTAAATAGCATTTTTAACAAATCTAAATTATTAACAGATGATTATTGAAAATCGATGTTTCAGCACCCCACGACACAAGTTGGAGGAGGCTGCCTGCCTACTCGGCATGGTATTTTTCAGTCTTTTTCTAAATAACATTTTATAATTAATTTTTAATTCTTAGTAATACTTGATATTCTTTTTTTGACACAGAATTAGATGATCTTCATTTCCTCAAATGTTATTAATTATTTAAATAATTTTAATTGGAGTCTCGTTTGAGCTGTCGTCGAGATCGGTCGTTTTTTGAATTCGCTCTTCATAAACACTTGCCCCCATACCACACAACATTGCAGCAACATTGCTGCAATGCAATTGATTCAAAAATTTCGGAAATATTCCAGAATAACATTATAAGAACATTACATTATAAATGTAAGAATAATATTGAGCATCATGACAATTATTTTTTACAGCATTTATAAATATATTAGAGAAGAAACATTGCTGAAACATTAGTTTAAAATATCAATCGATATTTAATTCACTGTCGCAAAATATTATGAGAAATTTTTTTGCAAAACTAAATAAATCATTTTATTTTAACCAAAATACATACTAATTAAAATATTAGTAGTAAAGTTGTCAATATTGTTAATAAGATTGAATATTAAAAGAATTAAATTTAAACTGTGTAAATCAATTATCTAATCCTTTTCATCGTCGGCATCAACTTGATTCTCGTCATTCACATTTCCGTCAATTTCATTTGTATCGTCCTCATTTTCACCTTCTTTTTGGTCATCTCTATAAGTAAAATAATGCAATATTATCTTAAAAATAGTACATAGTTAACATATATATTTAAAAAATGTAAAATAATTAGTAATTTTGGATAAAAATAATTATAATTAATTAGTCAAATTTTAATTTTATTAATTTTTGTTAAATTGAATTAATTAATTTTTTAATTTGTTTAATTAACTAACTTAATTTTTACATGTTACAATAGTCAAATTAATTTTAAAATAATTATAAAACTTTATTACCCTCCTCTTCCCAATCTAGTTGTTATTTCAGCAAGCCATTTCGAACCATCTCCTTTTATATCTTATATCTTCCTCAGAATAATTAGGATTATATGTTTCGCGCTACCTGAATTTTGAATCAATGCCCTACTGAAAATTCTCATGTCGGATCTTATATAGGATCTCACATAAATTCATATATTAAAATCCACATAAAATCCTATGTGTCATGTAAGAAACTATATAGGATCTTACGAAAAATCATACAGGAAATTGAGACATGATTTGAAGTGGGATTCGATGTAAATTCTTATAAACGTATTCTTAAGTAATAAATTATGTAAATTCCTATGTGAAATCCTACAATTTTTTCTAGTCCCACTTTTTCCTTCAATTTCTTATGTCAATTTCCTTCGTGTTTTCTCATTAAAAAACATACTAAAATTCATTGCTCAATCCTTAACCAGAAATTTTCCTATATCAAATCATACATCAAATTTTTTTTCGATTCTTGAATAAAAAATTATTACAAAAAATCTGCCATGAAATCATATCAAAAATCCTCACGTGGGATCATATATATGATTGATTTGAACATAACAAATCATATAGGATTTCATGTAGATTCTGAAATATCTATATCTAAGATTTCACATAGAATTATATAAAGGAAACAATATAGGATTTCATATAGGAATTTTCAGTTGGCAGACGGCAATTTATAAAAATTATTTAATTAAAAATCAAATAATATTACTGCAATTCATCTAAAAAGAAAGAAAATTGTGCTTTGCAATACACCTTCTGAGTTAGAGTCTCAGCTTTTATAGTATGATGATGCTATGATGATCTACATCTATATTGGAATTTCCCATATAATTTCCTATATAATTTCTCATATAATTTCCGACTTGGTATATTAGATGGACAAATAAAACAGTGAAATCCACACATGACATCCCACATAAATTCCTATATGATTAATTCTTACATGAGATCCTAAATAGGATTTTATGTAAAATCTTATGTATGATCTTATATAAGATCAAACATAAAATCCTATATAGGATCTCATGTAAGAATTTAACATACAGGAATATACAGGGCGATTTTTATGTTCCGGACCCCCAAAATATCTTGAAAGGAAATAGTTTTTGAGAAAAATGTTGTATACAAAAGTTGTCGGGTTGAAAAAAATCTATTAAATTGTATAATTAAAAAACGGGCCCAGGGCCTTATGTGGGCCCTACAAACAAAAAAGTAAATTTTTTAAATGGAACCAAGTATTTTCAAACTCAGATTCTTGTAGCCAGTGATTTCCTCTTTTCAGACATGTGGTAACTTGTGGGCCCAAAGTTAAATTTGGGCCCGAAATTCGATTTTTTGTGATTTTAAAGGTGATATTAGTGTAACTTAGTTCCAAGGGGTTTTCGGGGTCCCTGATTACGAATATGAAGTCAGTTTTTAAAAATTTTCAATAACGGACCCAAAATGACTAATTAAAAATGAAAAAATTAAGGAAAATTATGAAACTTCTTATTTTAGACTTACTTTGCCTGCTAATTGTTAATTCAATGTTACTTTTATTGCTGTTAATTTAGTATCATAAAACTTCGGGTAAAATAATTAATAGATTTTTTCAAATTTTAAATTTAGGGGCTTATAAGGCCCAAAATTCGATTTCTTGTGATTTTAAAGGTGATTTTAGTGTGACTTAGTTCTAAGGGGTTTTTAGGGTCCCTGATTACGAATCTGAAATCAGTTTTAAAAAATTTTTAATAACGGACCCAGAATGACTGATTAAATATGAAAAAAATGAAGGAAAATAATGAAACTTCTTATTTTAGACTTATTTAGCCTTCTAATTGTTAATTCAATTTTATTTTTATTGCTTTTAAATTAGTATCATAAACCTTGGGGTAAAAAATTAGATTTTTACAAATTTTAAATTTATGGGCTTATAAGGCCCAAAATTCGATTTTTTGTGGTTTTAAAGGGGATTTTAGTGTGAATTAGTTCTAACGGGTTCTTGGGTTCCCTGATTACGTTTTAAATTCATTTTAGTGTAACTTAGTTCCGATGGGTTTTCGGGCTTCTTGATTACGAATCTAAAATCAATTTTTAAAAATTCAAAATAGCAGACCCAAAATGACTGATTAAAAATAAAAAAAATTAAGGAAAATTATGAAATTTATTATTTTAGACCTATTTAGCATTTTACTTGTTAACTTAATGTTACTTTTACACAGCTCTAAATTTACTATCCTTTGGGGGCAAAAAGGAAGATTGGTTTATTTTTTAAATTTAAATTTTGGGGGCTTATGGGTTCCAAAATTGGATCTTCTGTGGTTTTAAGAGTTATTTTAGTTTAAGGGAACTTTCTGATTTAGAATTGAAAAAAGACACGTTTTAAGTATTATGACGTGTGGAATAACCGGTACACTTAACCTGATCTTAAATTCAATTGATCTAAATTTTAATCTATTCACATTTTAAACTAACTAAATTTTAAGTTGTGTAAAAGTAATGTGCAATTATCAATCAGCAGGCTAAATAAGATTAAAATAAGAAGTTTCACAATTTTTCTTAAGTTTTTCATTTTTAATCAGTCTTTTTGCGTCCACTTTTTTGAATTTATAAAAACTGTTGTCCGATTTTTAATCAGGGACCAAAAAACCCCTTGGAAATAAGTCACACAAAATAACTCTTAAAACTACTAAAAATCTAGTTTTGGGACTTATAAGACCCTAAATATTAAAATTTAAAAAAATCTAATTTTTTACACCAAGGTTTATGATACTAAATTAAAAGCAATAAAAGTAACATATTGTATTAACAATTAGAAGGCAAGTCTAAAATAAGAAATTTTATAATTTCCTTTGATTTTTTTCTTTCTGAATTAGTCATTTTGGGTCCGCTATTGAAAATTTTTAAAAACTGATTTCAGATTCGTAATCAGGGACCCTAAAAACCCCTTAGAACTAAGTCACACTAAAATCACCTTTAAAATCACAAGAAATCGAATTTTGGGCCTTATAAGCCCCTAAATTTAAAATTTGAAAAAATCTATTAATTATTTTACCCGAAGTTTTATGATACTAAATTAACAGCAATAAAAGTAACATTGAATTAACAATTAGCAGGCAAAGTAAGTCTAAAATAAGAAGTTTCATAATTTTCCTTAATTTTTTCATTTTTAATTAGTCATTTTGGGTCCGTTATTGAAAATTTTTAAAAACTGACTTCATATTCGTAATCAGGGACCCCGAAAACCCCTTGGAACTAAGTTACACTAAAATCACCTTTAAAATCACAAAAAATCGAATTTCGGGCCCAAATTTAACTTTGGGCCCACAAGTTACCACATGTCTGAAAAGAGGAAATCACTGGCTACAAGAATCTGAGTTTGAAAATACTTGGTTCCATTTAAAAAATTTACTTTTTTGTTTGTAGGGCCCACATAAGGCCCTGGGCCCGTTTTTTAATTATACAATTTAATAGATTTTTTTCAACCCGACAACTTTTGTATACAACATTTTTCTCAAAAACTATTTCCTTTCAAGATATTTTGGGGGTTCCGGAACATAAAAATCACCCTGTATATAAAAATCCGTGTAAAGTCTTATGTATGATCTTATATAGGATCCTACATAAAATTCTATATAGGATCTCATGTAAGAATTTATCATATAGGAATATATATATATATATATATATATATATATATATATATAAATCCATGTAAAATCTTATGTTTGATCTTATATAGGATCATAAATAAAATCATATATAGGATCCTATTTAGGATCTCATTTTTTATTCAAGAATCGAAAAAAAATTTGATGTATGATTTGATATAGGAAAATATAATTTATTACTTAAGAATACGTTTATAAGAATTTACATCGAATCCCACTTCCCACATAGGATTTTATGTGCATTTTAATATATGAATTTATGTGTGATCCTATATAAGATTCTACATGAGAATTTTCAGTAGGGTGTTATAAAAGTATTAAAAACAGTTTTGTATTTATAATTAAATATTAAAATATTTAAAAATATATTTTCGTATAAAATACTTTGACATTTGGTATTAATTAGAAAATTTATTTTTGTTTTAGAAATTTTTGTTACAAAAAATCACTAAAAATGTTTAATTAACGAAATTTAACTTTTAATGGCGATGTAGAATGGTTAATTGATTATGCGATATATAATATTGTTCCATTTAGAGTACACTGAGACTTACTGATTATTATAGCAGCAAAATTTGTTTTTTTTAATAGTGCGTTTAGATTTGAAAATTATATATGACAGAAATAAAAAAAACTGCAGAAAAACAATAAACCTCTTCAGCAGTTATCAAGAAGATATTCTGAAATGGAGAATCTGAAAAAACCAAATACTTTCAAATCAGGTACAAAAGTAAAAGAAGAACATTTTAATGGACCCATAATAAATCACAATTGCACCAAAGTAATAAAACAGTACAAAACAGCTTTACTATGGACATTTTTTCATTAACTGCAATAACTTGAGAGATAACTGCTTACTTCTGAAGGATAATTCTATTGCAACAATAGTGAACATTATTGAATTCGAAAAAATAATATTTATTTGATAGGAAAAAAAAATTTCATTGTACAAGACCTTTATGAAAATCCAATCAATTCAAATAAGTTGAATATTTACATATCATCTCCTGGTGAAAATGAATTGGTTTTATTGTCTTTAAAAGATTTAAAGGCAAAATGTTGGAAAATTCAAAGGAAACGTAACCTATTTATTACCTTACCCTATCTTAGTTTTTTTTGGATACACTCCTCATTAAAAAAGATGGTAAACTTATTACTAACTGGTATCATAAAAGTACTTTTTCCGGAAGATACTTGAATTTTGGATACGGTTTAGTTGATAAAGGTATTAAACTTTTCTAATGTCGATTTTTACGAAGAAAATTTACAATTTATTTTTAATACCCTCAAAGAAAATAACTATCCTATTTATTTTTTAACAAAATATATTAATTATAGATTTCAAAAAATTTTCTTTGACGAGAATAATGTTGCCGAACCTTATGACTGCAGAAATTGCATTATTTTTCCGTTAACAAATAAATTAGAATATTTTTAAAAAAATTTATGTCGTGATGTTGACATTAATTGCATTATTTTACATACAAAAGAGATCGTTTTCAAGTTTTTTCTAAAAATAAAGACAAAACTCCTTTTTCACTAACAACAAAAATCGTTTACAATATACCTTGTCAATGTGGGGCTTCCTATATTGGACAGACTATTCAATATATTAAAAATATAATTACATAACATAAAAGTGACTGCGGAATCGATAAAAGAAACACAGCACTAGTTACACATTCTCATGAAATGATCATATTTTTAATTTTGAAAATACTAATATTATTTGTTTAGAATTTAATTATAAACACAGATTATTTAAAGAAATGTTTCACATTTTAAAGTGCAATAATTCAGTAAACAAAAAACTGAAATTAAAGATTTGAAAAATATAAATTACACTCTTATTCTACATACAAATTAAAGTACGCTATCTTATCTTAAAAATGGTCAGATAGATTCCTTTCTTATCATATAATTCTAGATGCTATTCATTTCGTTACATATAATGGGTGTCAAAAACTCAGTATATATTAAGCGAAAGTTTTGTCTTTTTCAAAGATTTTTAATATTTTAAAAATTAAAATCCTTTTCTTGTGGCATATTAATTTCCATTATCAAAAAATGCCTTTCCAATACTGCCTTCCCCTTTTGTATGTAATATTAATTATATTTAATAATTACGTCAATATTCGTATTCCACAAGCATTTTGTTTCATAATTAGAGAGGAAAATTTGTAAAATATAACATTGTTCGATTCCAAAATTGTAAAATCTAACATTTCGAAACTTTTTGTTAGTAAAATCTAAAAGTTTCTTTTTATCTTTATTATAATATCAAAATATTCACGATTGTAAAATATAACATTATGACAATAAAATTTGCGTGAAAATGATACTGACTCCATAATTGTATGTAATATTAATTATATTTAATAATTACGTCAATATTCGTATTCCACAAGCATTTTGTTTCATAATTAGAGAGGAAAATTTGTAAAATATAACATTGTTCGATTCCAAAATTGTAAAATCTAACATTTCGAAACTTTTTGTTAGTAAAATCTAAAAGTTTCTTTTTATCTTTATTATAATATCAAAATATTCACGATTGTAAAATATAACATTATGACAATAAAATTTGTGTGAAAATGATACTGACTCAATATTTTTTTCATTCGCAATTGAGATTTTTTCAAAAATGATGGAAAGAATCCATGTGGTAAGTTGAGGTTATGTTTATTAAAAATTAAATTCATGTTTTTGGAAATTTAAAATTTGTACCGTAAAATGGGGTAAAGTCGGCGTTTGCGGGTAAAGTCGGCCGGCGCTTTAACACTTAAATATTGTATTTCATTTATTAATTTACATTAATTCTAACTACATTTTTAATAAAACTCGGATTTCTTCTGGAAAAAAGTAATAGTTAAACTTTAAAATGATTTAAAGCGCCGGCCGACTTTACCCCCAAACGCCGACTTTACCCCATTTTACGGTACGTTACATTTAAAACAGTTTAAAATTCATTTATACATATATATATATATAACTTTTTATATTACATTTTATTGTAGCGACAAAAAACCATAACCTTTTTTCATCTGAAGAGGACTAATGTTTTAAGGCGAAAAGCTTTATGTTAATAAATTAGTAAAATAATGAAGCAAAATATTGATCTCCTTTTCTAAAAAACTTAACATCATACTACATATTTAAAAAGATCCAAACAACTTAACATCAAAACTATATATATGAGGCATTCTTTGTCAACTGAAGCCCCCTTCTGCCCAAAAATAGTTTAAATATAGAAAATCGGGCATAGGCTTATTACTTCAATAAAAACAAATACTTTTCAATGTCGTGTGGCGTTTTTCAAAATTCAAACAGGCGGATCTAATATGTCGACTAACTTCTATCAAATTAATTAAATTCACTTGAAAATTGTTACTCGGGGGTTTTTGGGGTCGCTGATTACGAATACGATGATGGTTTTTAAAAATTTTAAATGGTGGATCCAATATGGCGACTAAATTTTATCAAATTAATTAAATTCACTTGAAAATTGCTACTCGAGGGTTTTTGAGGTCGCTGATTACGAATCTGATGTTAATTTTCAAAAATTCAAAATGGAGGATACCATATGGCTACTAAATTTCATAAAATTAATTAAATTCACTTGAAAATTGCTACTCGGGGGTTTTTGGGGTCGCCGATTACGAATCTGATGTTAGTTTTCAAAAATAATGCCTGGCATAAAATACGTTAAATCCGTCAAAACTGATGGCAAACGGGTTCTCAAGCCAAAAGGACAATTGCACTGCATTCTAATGGGAAGTAGTGGAACACATACTGTGTGTGTTTGTACTAATTATACTAATTATAATTTTTATACTAATTATACTAATTATACTAATTATAAAGATGCTCTTTCTTAAATAATCTGTAAAAACGCAACTACAGCTTGCAATCTTGCTGATTGTAAAGATTGTCCAGGCAGCACAGAATTAAGCAATGGAATCAAACATCAGTTTGCAATTTTAGTGGGTAGTATAAACACACACTGTATATGTGTTCCACTATTTCCCATTAGAATGCAGTGCTGACGACACATTTGTGCAAATTTGCTAAAACTGACTGGACAGTCTCGATGCAAATCTTTATATTTCGAGTAGAGACCATTCAAATCCAGAAGCAATTGTCGTTTTGGCTTGAGAACCTGTTTGCCATCAATTTTGACGGATTTAGCATCCGTAAACGAAATTTTCATCTATTCTGCAATTAAAAAGTTAATTAGGAACGCAATAAGTTATCATATGTTTTCAAAAATTAATTTTAGCCAAATTCTTTAAAAAAATTTATTCTTTTATTTTAAAGAATATATATCTAATATACACTACGGATGACGTCCTACTAACCTGTGACCCTAATTTTGAGGTTATGTCAGTACTTTTTTCTATGATTTTGACCAAATTTTGAGGTAATGTTCGCCTGCACGCCTATGACATTTGACGTAAATTTGAGGCTATGTTCTCTTTTGACCTATGACCTTTGATATTTTAAGGGGAGAGTTATCTCTTTACTTCTGATACTAATTTTGAGGTAATTTCTGCCTCAACTACTTCAAAAACTTTGATTTTTGAGGTTATGTTCGTTTTAATCTATGATTCTGTTGTTCGACCTTGAGTATGGATGTTATCTTAATTTTTAACCTACATTTTTGATATAGATAGTACAATCTCTGAAATTTGCGAGAGCCGTAATATTCGCAGTAAGAGTCGTACCACTATGATGGGCAGGAGGGTCCTTGTCAGTCATTTTGATTATGGTATTGTCTCTATTATATATTATTTTATGGAATAAAGATTTTCTTAATTGATTAGCCAGGTTGTCGCAAAAATTAGTTAGGTCTCAATGCACTAAATCCTGATGACCCTAAAATTCCATTCTCATAAGCTCCCTGTAATAAACTTTGAGATGATATTACGTAAAATGTCAGAGCCACATTGGGAAAGAACAAATTTACTTCGCCTAGGATAAGATGGTAAGCGTTACCAATTGGATAATAGTATAAGGGATACCTTCTTTGATAACCAATCAAGGCATCTTCTGAAATAAAATTGTAATATATGTCAGATGAGATATTCAATTTAATATTTCTTTATCTTAAACCGGAAGACAAAATTAGTACTTCTTCGGGTGGTTCTAAAGAAATGGCTTCGGCCATCACGCATTCATTATTTAAACATATAATGTGCTTATTACTTTATATTCGAAAATTATTAGGGATCCGTACACCTTCGATGTACCGACGGAACCCATATGAAAAGACTTTTGCGTTCGTCTCAGCACTATGTCCCCCCTTAGCTTTTACATTTTTGTATATAATGAACTGCAATTTAGTACACATACGTATTTTCACGTGTAGATTACAGGAAAATATAGCGATACCGATTGGATTTGATGGCTACGAGCTAGAAAGGAAAGAAATGGGTTTTTTCGAAAAAATTGCAAAAAATGACCCTGTCCCCCCTTAACTTTTACATTTTTGTATATGAAGAACTGCAATTTAGTACACATATGTATTTTTACGTGTAGATTACAGGAAAAATATAGAGAGACCGATTGGATTTAATGGCCAAGAAAAGATTGAATCGTATTGTCTATTATTGTCAATTGTTCTTCAGAATTATTGAATGTTAAATTTTTCCAGAATGGATTCATTCTATCATTTAAATGCCCTTTTTAATACTTAGAGATTTAAATTCGTTAATTAGGTCTTTTATCACGTTCTCTTGTTCTGTCAAATTTTCTCTTATTTCAATAGCCGAATCTACCAACGCTGTGTTCTAATCACTAAGAGCATACAACCATGAAGATAAAAATTTAATTCGTCTTTCAATTTTTTCTAAATGGCAATAGACAGATTTGCAATAAATAGCTAACTGTTGATTGTGATGTTCTAAGTTCTCTAATCGCTCGTTTATTTCTGACCATTGATCGCTAGATAGTCCGGAAGCTACCCTAGTTAGTCTAGGAAACATTTGCCCTTTTTGTATATTATTATTAGGGCAACAGTCCTAAAACTTGTCCTGTTATATTTCCTATGGCACCGGTAACTATAGGATGGTTAAAGGGCGTATCTTTTGATATTACCAGAAAAGTCACAATTATTTCGAAAGCAACTACGTATTATTATTGACTTTGTGATCTTCTGGTTGTGAAAAATGAAGAAATTCCACTTGCAAATCTTCTTCCGAAATATAATTGTACGGTGTACATGGAAAAATCGATAATCTAACTCTATTTCCGGTTAAATGTGGAGATTCAAAAAATAATTCCGGTAGGACGACCAAATAAAACACGTATATCATCAAGTAAAGTCGCTATTAAGAATTTATTAATTTATTATGTCGATATCATTATTTTCAAATTCAATTTGTCTGATTTTCTCCTGCTGAGATAAAATTTTTTTTCGATAGATTCTTCAACTGTTAGATCTATAATCGTAATGTCGATGTTTTCATTGTTATTATTCACTGTGGAATATTCCCATGATGCGGACATTTTGATTTTCCTGGAAGATCATGGGAATATTCCACGGTGGTATTCAAGGGATATTCAGGGGATATACCGTGCTGCTTGGGTGGTATTTCTCTAACGGTTGGTTTAACTTTTGCTACTGGTCTATTTACATTTTGTGAATTCACTAAATTTTGGTAAAGAGATGGTTTTGTAACGAGCTTAATTTTTTTGGATCCGCGTTTACCCCTTTTCGAAGATGTTGAAGATGAAGTAGATTCTGAAATATCTATCTAAGATTTCACATAGAATTATATAAAGGAAACAATGTAGGATTTCAAAAAGGAATTTTCAGTTGG